GGAATGAATCAGACTCTGGTGGGAACAGATGAGCTTCATCTTAACGAGGGACTGTGAGCTTCAAAATGAGATCATGTGAGCTGCTTTGTCATCTGCTGGCGTTCCCCACGCTGCTCTGTGCTCTCAGTGCTCCATCAGAACTGCTTTTTGCTGTGGGTGGGAGGAGGTAGCAGTTGAAAAGCCTCTTTGCAGCCTCCAGATCTTTCCATGAAAAAATATTCCATAGTGAAACATAAAGCTGCAGGTGCCCCTGGCCGGCCAGCTGGCACGCTGCTCCTGGAAATGGGATTCAAATGAGCCCAGCACAGCTGGGAGAGCCATTTCCTTCAGGCAGCATGCAGCAGGGCCGTGTGAGGAGCCAAGAACATCTTGTCCTGCTAGGAGAAAATGTATAAGCTCTCTTCTGGGGTAGGTTTTTTGGTGTTGGTTTTTTTTTTTTTTCTTCTTTTTTATTAAAGCAACTTTTCTCCATAACACTCCTTTATAGGTTGGCTGGATATTTACTGATCTGGTCTCTGAAGACACACGGAAAGGGACAGTTCGATACAGCAGAAATAAGGTGAGATTCAAATGTGTAGCTAATTCCAGCTGCTGGTAACGAGGGTTTGTGTCATCACATGAACTCTGGCTGGGCCAGGCAGAGCACTGAGCCAGGGCAGCACAGGGCTGGAGGTGACGCCAGGACTGGAATTCTTGTGAAATGGGGTTTTTTCAGAAGCTTCTAAAGGAAAAGGAGCTTGAGCTCGAAGAGCACTGTTAGGGGTTCGAAGCTTTTTGGATAGTGTGCAAAGCTGCCTGCCATCCTTCACCTACTCTTGGCTTGAAGAAAATGGTGCTGATTTAGGAAAATTTAGTAGAGTGGATGGTGTGAGGTGTAAACTCAGTGAGCAGAAGTGACTCAGAGGATGTTCCTATAGACTGGGCTTTGAGGTAGACGTGGCTTGGGTCCTCAGATTTTGACCTTCTCAGCTTCCTGTCATTCTAAAATCAATGATATGAAATGAAAATGCATTTTAAAAAAGAAAAAAAGAAAAGGTGTGTAAAGGTGGGTGGAACTAGAAGTGGGACAGTCCTTCTGGGGAGAGCCAGGCTGAGGGCTGGAGAGCTGACATGTCACATTCTTTTCCCAATCTCTGCAGCAGCTTTTCTACGAAAGCATGTTTCACTGGGGTGTTGGTAGTTTTCTTTGGCTGCAGACCAGGGAAATAGGTCTGAGCTACATTGCATTGTCCTTTTTATTGACATCTCTGCTCTTCCCTCAGGACACGTATTATCTAAGTGCAGAAGAGTGCATCACAGCTGGAAACTTTCAGAACCAGCAGCCCAACATCTGTCGCCTTTCTCCAGATGGTCATTTTGGATCCAAGTTTGTCACAGTTGTGGCTACAGGTATAAACTGGCCTTGGCTTGCCCCGGCTTTCTTGGTTATACATAAATTATCTCTTGTTCATAGAAGAAGAATATGCAGTTCTGCCAGAAGAAATCAGACATCCTGCTCCCCATCTGTCCTGTTTAAAAGGGGTTTTGCCTCTTGCTCTGTCAAGTAAAATACTTTTTCATTCCTTGTTGCTATCTTCTCTACAATTATTTACCTTGTCCCCTGCAGGAAACTTAACAGAGGCTCAGACCTGGAGTATCCACCTCTCTGATCCAGGAAGCATTTTTTGCCTGCAGCCACAGGATTAACTGTTGCTTGTTTTTTCTGTTTCAAATCTCAAAGCTCCACATTCTGGTTGCCTGAAAGTGGCAGTGCAGAACCGTGGCAATTCTGAATCCTGCAAGTTAACTCTGGCTGCTTCAGCATAAAGGAAGGAGCTTTATCTCCCTCGTGTCACTGTCAGGGAAACCCTTACATAGGATGCCTGTGCTCTTCCGTGCATGGAAACGTTTTTTGTTTGCCTAAATAAAAAAAGAGAAGCCTGTGAAATGCTTTGTCACCTCTGATTTTAGCCATTTTCACAGCCAGTCTCCAGAGGTGCCGTGGAATAGCCTGTGCTGCCTGTGTTGGCATGTGCTGTAGTGATAGAAGCTCAATCTGCTCTTCTCCACGGGGTGACACGTGTGTTCATTTATCCCTGGAGCAGATACGCTGGATTCTGGGTCTATTTAACACAAATTAAAAAAGAAACCAACCCAAAAAAACCGCCTGATTTCCAAATAGCATCCAATGTAAAAACTGAAAGTGTGAGATCACATTGGCTCCTCTGAGCCCAGGTTTTGTAAGTGTTCCCACAGCCTTTTTCAGTGAAAAAACTCTCTTTCAGTTCACAGGCTCGTGCAATCAGACAGCTGCCCGTACATTCCAGACTGCTAAACACATCCATCTTTTGTTAAAGATAGAGAGAGAGATGTGGATCTCCCTCACTCTTTTTTAAAAATCTATTTCTGGTTTGTTTTTGTTTTGTATTTTAAAACAAGGTGTTTTACTGAGCAAACGATGGCCAGCTTTGTTCAGGTCTTCCCCGTGTCTTGGTCTATGTTTAATTTCTAGGAGTGTTTGTTCTGGAGCAGTGAGTGATTGAGGTTACAGATCAAAGGGTAGAGAATGAATATTTCCTCTTTTCTGTTCCAGATAATTTCATTCTCTTCTGTTCAATCAGCCCATCAGGTTTCTATTTAAACACTCGATTCCTTCCTTTTGTGCCGTATAAATACATTTGGATAGTTTGCATCAATTTTGCCTTTAAATCCTCTCCATGGATTAATTCCTATCCCCTCCTGAATTCCTGGGTTTGGAAATTGTAACGTTTTCCTACCATCTGTCTGTATCTTCTCTTTCCAGTTGTATTCTAATGACATATGACCTGATGTTGCTTACATTATCCAAATCAGAGCGCCAAGCATGTGATCTATCAGTGAGCCAGGGTCTTAATTTCCACTTTCCATGTCAGATTTCCACCAAACCA